CTGGTAAAGGTGTATTGTCGGCTGCCAAAAGTGAAAGCTAGTTTGTGTTGGTCCTCGGCGCGCACAGGGATGGTCCAAAAACCAGAGGCGACGTCGAGGGTCGAGAAGTACTTACCATCGGTGACCTTTGGCAGTTCCTGATGGAGCTGAGTCATTGGCCACCTGGATAAGGGTACTTGTTTATTTAGCTTTCTGTAATCTATGGTAAGTCTCCACTTACCATTTGGTTTTAAAACTGGCCATAAAGGCGCAGAGTAGGTGATATTACATTGTCTGATTATACCTTTGACCAAAAGGTCATCAATGATCTCCTGGACAGGCTGGTACGCTGCCAGAGGGATCTTGTATTGTCTGACAAATGTTGGCGGTGCGTTGGGTGGGGTTGGGATTCTCACTGCGTGGAGTGAGGTCAACCCACAATCTGTTGAATCAGTTGCAAATGACTTTGTTTGGCGGACTCTGACTGCTCCAGCTCACAGAGGAGACTGTCTTGTTGGGTCAGAGTTTGGACCACTGGTTGGGTCTCTTTGGTTTCACATGATGTCAGAGGAGTACTCACCGGGCTCGTGTCCTCGGCTGAGGAGTCCTGTGCGCCTTCCGCGGTACCTGCTGTTGGGCAGTCTGTGTCACACTCCGGAGGCGTATCTATTGGCAGTGGTTTGCTCACTGTTGTCCACATTGTTTGATCACCATAATCTATAATCGCGTCGAAGCGATTTATAAAATCCTGTCCAACCAAAAATGGGAATGAGTCAACACGAGACACGTGTACCGGGTGGTACAGTGTCATTTTGCCAATCTGCATGTGAACCATTGCTATAGCTGTCAGGGTTGTCCTCACCTCTGAGAGACCCTGCATTTCTATAGCACATTCAGAGAGAGGTATTATCCTGTTAACACTGGCAGCGGCCGTCCTCAGCTCCTCGAACAGTTTAGCTGACATAATTGTTATGTCTGCCCCACCGTCCAAGAGTGCTTCGTGTGTGAGGACACCTTCGAGCGTTACTGACAGGTACGCCTTTTTGGCGACCCCCCTTCTGATAAAGTTACACAGAAACCTCTTGGGTTTTTTCTGACGCTTCTTCACGCGTTCAGCCTTATCTGTGTAATCTTGGTTTGTCTGAACCGTCAGCACAGCAGTAGCTGTTTCTGAGTGTCCAGCTTGCGATGACTCGTCATCGTTTGTGTGTGTGTTTACCCCCCCTTCTTCTGATGAGGGGTTGTTTGAGGCAACAACAGCAACGTCTTGGTGTGTTCCACCGACATCTGTAATGTTGTCATTCGCGCCCTCAGATGTAATAGGGATTACATTACTGCAAAGTGCTCCTGGTTGGGTTCCCATGTCAGTGTGTTTCAAAGTTTCTAACAACCTGCGTATTTTCTCTGTCTCTTCCGAGCTCAGAGGTGTAGGGCTTTGTTTCTGGAACTTTTGTGATTTTTTCGCCTCGGTTCGTTTCGTCCGAGGTGGGGGACGGTCAGGTACGTCTTTCGGGGGTTCCTTTACGTACTGCCCCTGACGATATGGGTTCCCATATCGTTGCGTCCGACGCTCACCCCTTTTACGATAATCACGTTCGTCCTCTGAAGGAGGACCTTTTTTGTCCCAGCGCGCACCTTCAGGACGCGGTTTGTTAGTTTGAACAGACTGTTTTCTCTCAACTTTCTTAGGAAGAGGCGGCGAGGCGCGTCGTCCTTCTAGTTCAAGAGGGAGGGGTTTAACCTTTACACTAGGAAACACTTCTATGGGCGTCTTAGCACGAGAACATGCTTCAAACACATTCACAGCACACTGCTTAATCTCACTGATGGATTTTTCTCTGAAATTTGCCATCATTTGTACTGATTGTCTAAAATCAGTATGGAGATTTTTGCTGAAAACAAACTTAAAACCTTCCTCTTCTTCCATTCCGGTTTCATTTCTGTTACCAAAATAAGCTTGGAAGATTCTTTTGTAATAAACTCTTGGATGTTCATTTTTACCCTGCGTGACCTTGTCTGCAGCTGGGAAACCAGCAGGTCCCGTGCAGGAGTCGTATTCTCTGATCAAAACTTCACACAGAAGGTTATAATCCCTTCTCGTTGCATCAGGTAGACGCTCAATGAAGGTGAACACCTCTCTGTCCGAAGTGAGCCGTATCAGACTGATTTTATCCTCCACCGTAGCATTAGGATAACCTCTCAATCTGAACTCAAGATCTCTGAGATACGCTTTTGTTCCAGATGACCCCATCGGTCCAGGTACAAAGCGTTGTACATATTTTGAGATTTTTTGCAAATCATCCATTGAAGGAGACAGTATCAACGGTCTCTCTTCTGTGGTTGGTGGTGCAAATTGGTGAAGGTCTGCCCCTACCACCCGAGATGGGGGTGGGGATGACGGAATGGTGTTAAAAGTAGGTTCAAGTCGGTTCAGATCCATCCCTATCACCCGAGATGGGGGTGTTACAACGGGGCTAAGAGTAGGAGGTGCAAGTCGGTGCAGACCCGTCCTTATCACCCGAGGTGGGGGTGTTGGAACGGGGCTAAGGGGAGGAGGTGTAACAGCATCTGTCTGGGGTGGTTGTGGCTGAACCGGACCCTGACCTTGTTCGTCCCTGAGTCCCAGACCAGCTCGCCCCCCATCAGAAATCTTGTTTATATGTAGTGTATAATCTTGGCCAGCTCCACAGGACAAGACTCAGCTGTTCACCTCCACCTCACAGATAAGGGACACTCTTTTGAGGACCAAAATGTGCACATTTTGGACCGAGAACACAGATGGTTTGAGAGGGGGGTGAAGGAAGCAATTATGTAAAAAGAGAAAAGCCGTCTCTTAACAGAGGAGGAGGCCTCAGATTCCCACTTTCAAAAACATATAATGCAACTTTAAAACAGATTCCCAGCCGGTTTTCACACCTGATGGGAACAGAGGGGCCTCGTCTGTGAATTAGAGGAACAAAGACCTACTGTTTTAGGTTTTTTAGGTGTGAACTGCCAATCTACATATATGTGTGTGTGTGTGTGTCTTATCTCACTCAGCCTTTTAACCTGTATCTGTCACTCTCTGCTCTTTGAATTGAGAAAGCTCCTCGGATGAGGAGCGAAACGTCTTCTGTTACAAATAAAGTCCAGTTGTTTTTGTATTGAACGCTTTTTGAAAAGGGGCATGAGTCTTCTTGAGTCTTTCACCGGAGTCTTCCACTTCTGAGTGGAACTTCGGACTCAGTCTTTTTCAGTCTTCCTGGAGTCTTAAGTTTTCCTGAGCCTTTCTTGGGACTATGGAGTCTTCCTGAGAGTTCCTAAGGAACTTTCAGATTTAATCAATAGCTGATGGATTTGACCGTGAGACGAGGGTCTGTCCATCCCAGCTGGAGTCACAGCGCCTCGCTGTGAACTCACCCGGGCGTAATGCCCTACAACTTCGAAGGAAGCTTGTTCTGTTGAACGGAGTAAAAACCACACGACTTCTGACGATGACCAGCCACCCTGACCGGAGACGCTGTAAAGGTAGCGTGCATAGGGGCGTCTAGACCGGAGCTGATCCATCCTCTGCAAAGGTAAAGAGACGTCACGAGTTGCCACGCACCAAGTGGACCGGGGGTTTGAGCTGGTGTTGAAAGGAGCGTGCTAATTCTGGTCAACAAACATACATCTTCCTTTATCCATCTTCCTTTCAAACTTCTCCATTCCTTCCCTTAAACTTTTCTATTTTGTCAGTAACCTAGATGCCTCAATCAGTAATGTTCTGTTGTCTTGTTGGTAAAGCGTGCCAAGTTTTTATTAATCAGAAACGGATCAACAAATCAATGTGTACATGTCTTGATGTTAAATTTTGATTCTGTTAAATAAATGACCGCATTTATTCTGATGGGTCAAAGATAAAATGGCGTCTCATGTCACTAATTAAACAATCCTCACAGTTATCTCGGTCACATGGCATTAATTTAACTCGAAAAAGAAAGAATCCGTTGTATTTAAATAATTAATATTCTTTGTGCTTGAACTAGCTTTAAGAATAATTAATTAGTAGTGAAGCTACAGCAAAGCTGTCCCCTGCTTCACTACACATTTGTCTCCTCCAGGCTCGACTACTGCAACTCCCTGTTTACTGGAATACCCGGCAAAAACCTTCAAAAGCTTCAATATATTCAAAACAGTGCAGCCAGGATTTTATTGAGAGCTCGTAAATTTGAACATATTACACCCATTCTCCATAACCTCCATTGGCTTCCTGTCACTTACAGAATTCAATACAGAATTGCTCTCATCACCATCAGTGTTTATACAGAAATTCACCAGATTATCTGAAGGACCTTCTTGCTCCATATTCATCCACCCGGTCCCTACGATCACAGAACAGTCATCTCCTCCACCTTCCACGAACTAAATTAAGAACCATGGGAGATCGGGCATTCTGTGTGGCTGCCCCCCACCTCTGGAACTCCCTCCCTGACTATCTGAGAGCTCCACAATCATTGACTGACTTTAAAAAAGGCTTAAAGACTTTTCTTTTTAAGCAAGTCTGTTCTGCCTCCACATGATTGTATCATTGATTTTAGTTGCACTCTGTAGCACTTTGAGATTTTTGTTAATGAAAAGTGTGTTACAAATTAAATGCATTATCATTATTATTATTATTTCCTTTTTCCAGCCACTTATTGCTACTTGTCCCAACTTTTTTGGGATTTGTTGACACTGTGAAATTTTGAATCAACATATTTTTCCTTTAAAATGTTACATTTACTCAGATTAAACTTTTGATCTGTCATCTATGTTATATTACAAATACAATATTGACATTTGCCATCTCCACATCATTGCATTCAGTTTTTATTCACAATGTTTAGTGTCCCAACTTTTTTGGAATCCGGTTTTTACATACAAGCAAGAAGTAGGTGTCTAAGGCCTGGCTTTAAGTCTTTTGTGATTTTTGAACTTTTATTTTACACATGTACAAAACATAGTAGTTGAACAGTAATTTTGCTGTCTTTTTAATTAGCCCTCTCTTTTTGTATGTGTAGATGAGACAGAGATGAAAGACTGTCTGATGGTGCTTATTGAGGACCAGCAGAAGCTTTCGGCTCAGATGGCCAAAAGCACCCTGTCTGCTCGGCGCCTACGCCAGCGTCTGGTCATTCTGGAGCGCTACCTCATCTCCCTCAGCCACAACATGATGGAGGAAAAGTACAAAGTCCGCTGGAAGACACCCCCCAGCCAACCCCTGCCTGCTGCTAACAACAAAAGGTAAAAATGCAAAGCTGTGTGTTTTTATGTATGCATCCATATATAAATAACGTACGACCAGGAGATTTACGTACATACAGTAAGTGTGCACAGGTTTTGTCCTGTGAGGCCATGCAAATGTTTTACAACCATTACAACCATTACTAAGAGAGAAATAAAAAGACTGGTTCCTTAAATGTTCTGTGCCAGAAAAGACCGACTAGTTAGAGGCAACACGTTTTATTAAGATCCTAATTTATTAGCCAGTATAGATGTCTGTCGAATGGATTGCCCAGGTATCTAAACATTTACAAATGTTGTCCACAACGTTTGTTCTTGCCTTATTTTAGATGGAGAAGTATAATAGAAGGATGTGGCTTGTAATACACTTAAACAAAGGTCACACACTAATATTTTGTTGGACCACTTTTAGCTTTGATTATGGCATGCATTAGCTGTGGCATCATTTTGATAAGCTTCTGCAATGTCACAAGATCTATTTCCATCCAGTGTTGCATTAATTTTTCACCAAGATCTTGCGTTGATGATGGCAGATTCTGACCTCTGCGCAAAGCCTTCTCCAAAACATTCCAAAAATTCTCAATGAGACTCTGTGGTGGCCAATCCACATGTGAAAATGATGTCATGCTCCCAGAACCATTCTTTCACAATTTGAGCCCGATCAATCGGGCATTGTCATCTTGGAATATGCTTGTGCCATTGGGGAAGAAAAAAATCCACTGATGGAATAACCTGGTCATTCAGTATATTCAGGTAGTGAATGACATTATTTGAGCACATACTGTTGCTGAACCTAGATCTGACGTACTGTAACAACCCCTGATCATAGCACTGCCCCCACAGGCTTGTACAGTAGGCACTAGGCATGATGGGTGCATCACTTCACCTGCCTCTCTTCTTACCCTGATGCCCCCATCACTCTGGAACAGGGTCAATCTGGACTCATCAGACCACATGACCTTCTTCCATTGCTCCAGAGTCCAATCTTTATGCTCCCTAGCAAATCGAAGCCCTTATTTCCAGTTAGCCTCACTGGTTAGTGGTTTTCTTAAAGCTACACAGCTGTTCAGTCCCAATCCCTTGAGTTCCCTTCGTATTGTACATGTGGAAATGTTCTTACTTTCATTATTGAACATAACCCTGAATGCTACTGTTGTTTTTCTTCCATTTGATTTCACCAAACGTTTTAAGTGATCGCTGATCACGATCATTCAGGATTTTTTTCCAGCCACATTTCTTCCTTGAAGACGATGGGTCCCCACTATCCTTCCAGTTTTTAATAATGTGTTGGACAGTTCTTAACCCAGTTTTAGTAGTTTCTACAATCTCCTGAGATGTTTCCTCTGCTTGATGCCAATGATTTGACCCTTCTCAAACAGACTGACGTCTTTTCCACGACCACGCCATGAGTCTTTCATCATGTTGTTGAAGAAATGAGAATCAACTCATTGCACCAGTTGGAGTTAAAGAACTTGTTGCAGCTGAAACATAATCGCCCATGCAGTGATGATCCAACAGGAGGCTTGTACCTATTTGCTTAGTTAAATCCAGGTGGCTACTTTTTTTTGACCAGACAGTGTAAATTCCTGTAATAAATCTAGTTTTTGTTCATGAAAGGAAAAGTTGGAAAGTATATGACAGTTTCCACAGTCGTATTTACAGCAAGCTGACTTTAAGTTTAACCTCAAGCTCCACGTCCATCTTAGTAGTCTCTTAAACACTCTAATGAAATTCATGTTTCAGGTTTCTCTGCTCAAATCTGCAGAATTTGTTGCCAAATGGTTATGGTCAGACTTTGTTTTTACTTTATTATCATTTAGTGGTTTGTTGAAGCGTCAGGAAAAGCATGTTTAGAGGGAAAAAAGACAACCCAACATTTTCTAACAGTCTCACTTGGTGTTACCACCAGCAGTCACATGCCGAAGTGCCCCTGGGCAAGACACTGAACCCCTCATTGCCTCTGATGTGTGTCCTATCAGTGTATGGATGTGATCTAAAAAACTGATTAGTCTCTTTACAATGATTTGTTTAATTATCTTTGTAGAGATCTAGTATAGAGCTGTATGAATTAAGGTTGAGGAGCATTAAGTGTAGAACCACTAGACTGAGGAACAGCTTCTACCCTGAGGCTGTTAGACTCATGAATCTCTAACTAGAATAATCACTGTGAAAAATCACATCATGTTGCTGCTGATCTGTTTCATGTTGCTGCTGATCTGTTTCAATGTTGATGTGTTCATGCGTGCACATCTGCTCACAGACTCATGTTCATGTTTGTGCTGATGTTCAATGTTTTATGTTATGAGTGCTTAGTGTATATTTAGTTGATGTTTTTCTTAGTTCATATCTTAGATGTTATTACTGTTTTTCTTATACATTTTATTGTTGGATGTAACTGGGACCCTGTGTACATAATTTCACTCCACCACATGTACCACATGAGGTGCGAATGACAATAAAGAAACTCTGACTCTGATGAATGGGTAAAGGAGGCGCAGATTGTATTTTAAAGTTCTTTGAGTATCTTGACAGGATAGAAAGGTGTTATATAAGTACAGTCCACTTACCATTTGTTACCAGCTGATGGCATACAGCACATGGCTTTAAAATCCAAAGTTGTATTTTTTTTATTCAATTCAATTCATTTTATTTATATAGCGCCAAGTCACATCAGAAGTCATCTCAGGGCACTGAACAGAAATTGAGACTAATCAAGCCAGCTTCTTTAAATATACACAATAGAGCAGCAGGACAACATTTCTTCTTTGTCTACATGTGTTGTACTCGTGACTCATTGTTCCTAAATCACCTCAGGTGAGCAAAACAGCTTTTTACAGCACAGCTAGCTAAGTATTGTCTTTGACTTTTTGGTCTCCGTTTTAGGTAAATTTAATAACATTGTGTAAAAGTTTAAATTACAAGACTAAACAATACACTCACACAGCTGTTAACACCAGTTTATTGTGCATGAGTAAACAACTGCTCACTCATACCTGTTTGGACTGAAGCTGAACAATTCATACCTTGATACAATTTGAATGAATGTGTTTTTTCTTTGTTCCTTCAGCCCTCGTCCAGCCAGTAAAAGTGTTGAAGGTTTGGCCAGAGTTGGCTCCCGGGCAGCGCTCTCTTTTGCCTTTGCTTTCCTGCGTCGGGCATGGAGGTCAGGTAAGAAATCCAACAGATACAGACTGTGAAAGTTGTTGCCTACTTATTGTGCAGTAGTCCCTCGCTACAATGCAGTTAGACTTTTGCAGACGCGCTCTTTCGCAGGCTTTCAACGTAACATTGAACATGACACACGATTGGCTGATCGATGGAGTGAGCTGCACGAGTGGCATGGATTGATTTAAAAAAAGATAAAAAAAATTAAATTATTTAGCACCTGCTGCATCTGTGCACAGCACAAAGGTGTCCCTCCTGCTGCAGGAGGGAGATTCTCCCTGCATCTGTGTGCTGCTCTTTATTGGGGTTGGGGGGAAGGTTTGTGCTTCTTAAGCACTCCCCAGTCTCTGCCAGTCACAACAGTAGTCATCTCAGGGCACTGCACACAAACATTCACATAATATGAAGCAGTATAGGGCTGCAACTAACGATTATTTCAATAATCCATTCATCGGCCCATTATTTTTTCGATTAATCGATGAACCGAAAAAAAACGTTTTAATTTCCACCCCTTTATTCCAAAATTGAACATTTGACTGACATAGAAATTCACACAAAAACAGGTTGCTATTTGACTATTGTGTTAGTAAAATATTGAATAATAAAAAATAAAAGTTAGTGAAATAGCTTAAAAAAATAAATGTACACAAAAATATATACAAATGTATCTTTATACCTGCACAATATGTAGCTACTTTGTAAAATGTGTCATTGAGGGAAGAGTGTAACCTGGATTAAAAGTGTAGATTATTGTAACCTGGATTAAAAGTGTAGATTATTGTAACTTGGATTAAAAGTGTGGATTATTGTAGTGAAGCCTTCGTCTTCAACCATGGACAGAGGCCTCATGTCAGTGACGATCATGTTCAGGATGTTTCAGTGAAGACAGCTGCTGCTGTGGTGTCCATGATGTCTGTCCATCATGAAGGATGTTGTTGTTTTCTGGAATGAGAGAGTAAATATGTATTATATCATAATTTACAGCAACTCAAGAAATGCCTTGTTTCACTTATGCCCCTTTTCCATTAGTACCGGTACGGGCCGACTCGACCCTACTTGGCCCGGTTCTGAGGCTTTTCCATTAGTACCGGTACTTGGCACCTGTTACTATTTTCAGTACCCATGGCTCTGTGGTTCTAACCGGAACGAAGAGGTACTAAAACGTGACGTCAGAACTCTGTCGGTCACTGATTGGTCGGGGGCGGAGTCGGGGGCGGAGTCACTGGATCCTTCAGAAACTTTTCAAAACAATAATCCGCCATTTGCAATTTCTCAGACTGGAGCAGCGGCAGGACTTATTTTAAAGATTTTAAAAACAATACTGACAACATCTTGGTCTAATGTTGACGTGCTGGTGTTTTGTGCTTGGTGGCCGACAACATAATTCAGAACAAGCTGGATGGAGCTCTGCTGGTGTACCCCGATCCTCCCTCCGGAGCGCCAGACCGGGCAGGGCGTCATCTCCCCGGCTCCAAGTTCAGCTGGTCACCGCGGAAGATCCTTCGATGTGCCGACTCGGAGGCTCGGGTTCCGGATACCAGCCTTGTGTGCTCAGAGCTCCGCTGGTCACTGTGAAGCTGGAGATGGGGACTCGCAGATGGACGTTGCCAGACCCCGGCCGCGCATAATCATGAAGGCTGAATCCCGATCCCACCTGGCAGCCAGGCAGACTGGACAGTCTGGGACGGACGCTGGAAGCGATTTTTAAATAAAATAATATTTTGTTTTTATACAAAAAATGTTTTAAAAAATTGCTGAAGCGATTTAAAAATGATGATTATTTTTTACACATAAAGTGTTTTTTAAAATCGCTTCCACCGTTCGTCGCAGACTCGTCTCTCTCCGCCTGTCTGCGCGGGTCGGGCCTTCCTGATTACGCACGGCTGGGGTCTTGGAGCGGCCTCTGTGAGTCACCAGCTGAGCTGGAGCTGGGAGGATGAGCCTGACCGTCCTGGCTCCGAAGGAGAGGATCGTGTGAGACCAGCAGAGCGGGTCATAAAAAAATAATATATATATATTTTTTAGCGTTTAAGATTAAAGAAAAATCCTGATGCATGCTCAATAATCCAGGTAGAAAAATCTAAAAAAGTTAAATCTGGTCCTCTGGACATTTCAAAAACAAAAACAAAGCAAATCAACAAAAAAATTGTAGAAACGTTTCGTCTTTCATCCTGAGGACTTCCTCAGTCTGAGGTGCTGTATTCAGCTCAGTCTCTTAAATAGCACCTTCTCAGAGTGGATCAACCAGTTTGCTGCTGACAACCAGAACCAGCTGATCACATGATCAAGAAGGACCATCAGCCTAACAATGGATCATTAGCACCTGATGGCTGTTTACTATTCACAGAGGGCTGAGTGATACTAGCAATCACAGCATTGTAAGAGGGGGACAGTTGAACCAGGAGGCTCCACCCCTGTTTAATGATGGACGGTTTCTTTTCACAAAGATGGCCTCCTTTACTCCTCTCTCAAACCATCGTTCCTCTCTGTCCAGGATGTGAACATCTTCATCCCTGAAAGAGTGACCTCTGACCTGGAGATGAGTGTAGACCTCAGAGTCCTGGCCTGATGATGTTGATCTTCTGTGCTGGTCCATCCTTTTGGCCAGTGGCTGTTTTGTTTCCCCGATGTAAGACTGATCACCCTCCTGACACTGAACAGCATACACAATATTACTCTGTTTGTGCCGGGGGACTGGATCTTTGGGATGAACCAGTCTTTGCCGTAATGTATTTTGGGGTTTAAAAGCCACTGGGACGTTATGTTTAGAAAATAAACGTCTCAGTTTCTCTGATACTCCCTCAACATACGGAATGACCACTGGTCTGGGTCTGGGTTCCTCCTTTTCACCTGTTGGCTGACTGGAGTCCTGTTTGGGTTTCTTCTCTGCTTTCAGGAAGGCCCAGTTAGGATATCCACATTGCTCTAGAGCCTGTCTTGTGTGGGATTTCTCCTTCTGCCTGGCTCCTGAGCTAGTGGGGATGCTGTCTGCTCTGTGGTACAGAGTCCTGATGACTCCTAACTTGTGCTCCAAAGGGTGATGGGAGTCAAACTGCAAATACTGGTCTGTGTGGGTGGGTTTGCGGTACACCTCAGTTTGCAAATGTCCTCTATCAGAGACTGAGACCTCACAGTCCAAGAAAGCCAACTTGCCATTTTTTACATCTTCTCATGTGAACTTGATGTATTTATCCACAGAGTTGATGTGGTCAGTAAAATGTTGGACTTCCTGAGATTTGATTTTAACCCAGGTGTCGTCAACATACCTGAACCAATGACTTGGTGGTGTCCCTGAAAAGGACGTCAAGGCTCTCTTTTCTACCTCCTCCATGTACAGGTTGGCAACAATAGGAGAAACTGGAGACCCCATAGCACACCCATGTTTCTGCCTATAATATTGCTCCCTATATGTGAAGTAGGTTGACTGCAGGCACAGTTTCAAGAGTTGACACAGTTGTTCTGTGGAAAGCGTGGTCCTGCTGCTCAGAGTGGTGTCTGATTTTAATCTTAAACTGACCACCTCTACTGCATCATCAACAGGAATGCACGTAAAGAGTGATGTGACATCAAAAGAGACCATTGTTTCATCAGTCTCCATGATGACATCCCTCACCTTATCCACAAAGTCCATGGTGTTCTGTATGTGGTGTTCTGAGCTGCCAACTAAAGGGATGAGTACAGACGCCAGATATTTGGAAACATTGTAAGTGACAGAGTTAATCATACTAACAATTGGTCTTAAAGGTACACCTTGTTTGTGGATTTTAGGTAAACCATACAGACTAGGTGTGGCCTCCCCTGGGTAC